AGCGCCCTTTGTCCCTGCCTGGGGCTGGAGCCTAAGCCCCTCGGGGAATATTCGGCCAGATGAGACTGCCTGGTCTGGGAGGTTCCCACAGAGGAGTGTGGGAGCCACACGCTTCTCCCCCCACCCCAACCAAAGGCGCGTTGCTGTCCCCAAGGCCTGGCCCACACTCAGGCTCTGCGAAGCCATGCCACCCTCTGTGCCCAAGAAGCCCACTGACCACACGTCTGCGCCACCAGCTGCAGAGCGCAGGACTGCTGTGCCCGCAGTCTGACGTGTCCCACGCCACCTACCCAAGGAGGTGTTGGCAGCCTCCTGCTGCTTCCTTCCTCCGAGGACGAGCCCGCTTTCTGCACATTGCTACCTGCCACCAATGGGCACGAGGCACACGCAGTGACTTTAGATGGGGCCTTTGGGGAAACACATCTGTGGTCTCAAAAATGTCCCGTAGCCTTGTGTAACTGCTTTTTTGTCTGTGCCGTCAGACTCAGCCAGTCCCTCGTGTCGGAGAGCCCGGTTGTATGCTGTGAGCAAGGAAGGTAACAAAGGGAATGCTGTGGAGCACGTGTCTGCCGTGTCCCCCACGGTCTTCCAGGGGTCCTGGCATCAGGGAGAGGTGGCTGATTGTGCCCTCACAGAAGACACCTGGCAATCACCTTCCCCAGGTCAAAGGGAACTAGGGGGACAGGAGCGAGGGGTACAAGTTAGCGAAATTACCAAGTACCTAAAGGCTGGACTAAATGGGTCATTTCCTGAGAAACTAGAAAGTACCACAGGACTCAAGTAGAAACAGGAAACCCACTGGTCCCATGGAGGGGGGCACTGAAAACACAGCAGTCAAGAAAGGCTCCAGGCTCCACCAGTGTGTGGCAATGATGTGCAGGAAAGGATGGAGCCTCCTTCTGGGCCGACCACACCTCTGTGCCTCAGTTTCCTCACTTGAGCTCCTCAAACAGTCATGAAGATAGCATCTAAGACACTGGGTAGACCGGGTGAAGTTGTAATTCATGGGACATGAATGGAAGAATCGCATCAGTGCATGGTGAGTCTGGACTCAGGGGGGCTGTGAAGGGTCAGGTGAAGGAGTTGCAGCCCAGAGGGAGTGGAAGCACCCCGTTCCTTCTTCAGAGCTCACCAACAAGTGGAGACACAGGCACCAAGGCCAACACACACACACACACACACACACACACACACACACTAGGCCATCTTACTTATAACCAGGTCATTGCTGCCCTAAATAAAAGTACAAGCGGATGGAGCCCAGTACCCAGGAGCAGTGTGCTGACTGCAAGAACCCACAGATGTGTCAACTTGGGGATCCTTCACATCATCACTGCATGATGAGGTTTGAAGGGGGACCCATGAGCGTGTCAAAGACAGTTCCTCCAGCCCCTGGCATCAGCGTGGTGACTCTGGGGACAGCAGGGCATGCCACGCCTTCCTGTGTCTGTGTCCTCTGGGGTCTGCCCTGCATCTTCTGGATCTTGGGGGCCCAGTGGCCAGAGGAGTGGAGACCGTCCCCGGCTGCAGTCATGTGGTCTCGCACTTGGCGCCTGGCCCCTCATGAGTCAGCGAATCTCTCTGTGCTGCTCGCGCAGCACGGGGGCGGTGGGGGGCGGGGAGGCTGGGCCACGCAGCCTGTCTGCATTTCTGGGGGCTGAGCTCTGGAGAAGTCCTTGGAACCAGCCCTCCCAACATAAACACATGCTGTTTAGGAAAACACATTGCGCACTTTTTGACATTTGCCATTGTTTCGCTCCCAGAAATCCCTGCGAGGCTCCCACCTTCTGTGGCCTGCTCGCCCCAGGAAACCTGTTCCCAGACTCCAGCTGTGGGGAGTCCCCACGGGAGAAGAGCCCGTCCTCGTCCTCTGCCGAGGCCGACAAGCTGTCCTGTGGCATTTAGGGCCCAGCGAGGGCCAGTCACTCTCAGGGTACTTGTGGGAATGCACGCGTGTCTCAGTTTCACTAACTGACCTGGGGTGGCCTCCAGCTTGGGGCCTGTGCTTCAGCACACAGCTGGGTGGCCACACTTCAGGGCTCACAGGTCCCTCTATGCCTGAGGAAGGGGCCCTGCCGGCCCGAGGTCAGGGTAAGGATGTCTGGACCCGGCAGCCCAGCAGAGGGCGCCAGCCTGACCCTGCCCCACTCCTCCATGGTCCCTTGGTCACTGGGTGGCCTGGTCTGTGGCGGCTCCTCAGCCTGGGCACTGGGCTGTCCGGGAGCACATCCTGGCAGCTGGCTGTTCCGGCCACAGGTGCTGCAGACAGGAGCCCCTGCTCTGCCGCTGACTCCCAAGCCATCCCCTTCCTGTGACTCCAGGGACAAAACCCGGTTTTCCGACCCACAGGGTGTGGCGTGCAAAGGGTGGGTCCACGCTAGGCCCAGGGACTCCAGTGTCCAATCCCAGTCCCTGAGTGATGGACAAAGGGGCAGGGCTGCAGGGGCTGTGTCCACTGTGCCAGCGCCCCCAGGACGGCTGCTGCTCCAGGGTCCCTGACCTGGAGCCTATGGCCCATCCACACCCTCCATGACTCCCACTGTCCAGCCACTGCAGACGTCACCTCCCCTGACCCCGTGCCAGTGCGCGCTGCCTCCCCACTTCCTTCAACTCTGGTGTTTTATCTGATGTCCCCAAGCTACTTTCAGCCCTGCCACCTGCCTGAGCTGGCCCGAGACAGCCCACGTGCCTCCTACCCTCCCACCCCTCCCTCCTCGGTGACCCCAATTGTGTGTGTGGACACAACTCTGACCTGGGGACAGGGATGGGCCACCATCCCCAGGGACAGAGCCCGGCCCCAGCCCCAGCCCCTCCGTCTGTCCCTTCTCAAAGAGAACCTCATGTCTCTCCCACCCCGCAGCCCTGCGCCCTGAGGCCAGGCTCCAGAAACCCCCTCTTTGGGAGATGCCTGGTCCTCACAGCTGCCCTGGCCCGCAGTCTCTGCAGCCAGGGTTCTGCTTGTTTGGGTTGGGGTGCTGGGTGCTGACGCTTTGGAGGTCTGTGGGGACAGACAAGACCCCACGCCCCACTGGGCGTCGCAGTACTGGTGCTGCCAGGTGTGGCCTGAGGATCTACGAGTTGCTTCTGCCTGGGAACGGGTCACAGAGGTTCCTGTCCTCGGAAGCTGGGGCAGGTGGAGGCGAGGGGCACGGAGGCCACGGCTGCACTGGGTTCCTAGGGACAGGTGTGCATGCGTGTGCACGTGTATGTGTCTGGGTGTGCGTGCCATGCTGCCTTGGGCAGAGGGCAGGAGGGCTCAGTGGAGAGAAGCCTCTTTCTTCTCTCTTGTGGTGGCATCAAGGTGGCAGCTACTGTGGTTCCAGGGAGCCTGCCTAGAGTCACCCAGGCTGTGGGCCCCTAGGGTGGGGAGAGGGGCCTTTTCCACATACCCTGTGTGGGTACTGTCTCTTGACAAGAGACTCAGACACCCTCCCAGGGTGGTCCTGCCACGGCCACAATCCAGGGGTCGATGGCCAACTCACCAAAGCCTCAAGGGGGTCCCAGAGACAGAAGGGGCCCAGGAGGCGCCCTCTCCATGGATAGTTGCTAGTGGGGGTCTCCTATCTCCAGAAGCAGCAGTGGAATGGCCAGGGGCCGAGTCTGCCCCAAACCGTACCAACCTGAGTGGACTCCCCTGGCCTCTGCCTATCAGGAGTGGACACTGTGGCCATCCCGTTGTAAGCCAAGCAGCTCCTCTAGAAGCAGGGGTGGGTCCTGGGGTGGAGTCGGGCAGGGATAGAGCCCGTGTGCCAGAAATGCTGTGGTCTTGTTTGCCTCTGCGGTCCGGGGCTCTCCTTGGGGAGGGGCTGCGGTGCATCTCACAGCCCACACACTCGTAGCTGGGTGTGCTGGCGCATGCCTGTAACCGCACCCCTCTGGGAAGCTGAGGGGGGAAGATCGAAAGTTCAAATTCAAGCTCAGCCTGGGCAATTTAGCAACTCAGCAAGACCTTGTCTTAAGAAAATTTAAAAAGGCTGGGATATAGCTCAGTGCAGAGGCCCTGGGTTCAATCCCCAGGACTTCCAACCCCCAAAGGAAGGAAGAATCCATTCTCAGAAACCCCACCAGTTCCTCGGTGCCAGGTGGCAGCCAGCACAGCCAAGTGGGGCTGCTGCTGTAGAGCTGTGTATCCTGGCCTGGCTCCCGGCAGCAAGCCTCGAAGGGAGACACCCAGGAAGGGCTCTGTGTTCAGCGACTGGGCCACATGCAGAGGGTCCCCAGGCCCCCAGTGCAGAAGGAAGGCCCGGGCGGGCGGTGAGCACCCGGCCACTGGCGTCCAAGTGCCTGACTGACGAGCCAGGTCTCCCACTGTGGCCCTGAGGGCTGCACAAGAGGCTGGCGCAGGCCCCATGTCCACCCCGGAAGGGCAAGTCTCCACCACCTAAGTGTCTCCGATCCAGGTACACCCAGCGCAGGACTGAGCTGCAGAGCGGCACTGTCATCTCTCTAGGACACTGTGCCCCACCTCCCCACTCTGTGTCCCGCCCGGAAGCACGGTGCCTTGACAGCTGGGGACCAGCCAGCGGCAGGCCCCTGGACTTGGTTGTTCAGGGTGTGACAGAAACTGCTCAGAGAGAGCTCTCTGCCGCCTCATCTGCAATCCAGAGGAGAGGTGGGGTCTGGATCAGGTGCCCTTAACCTGGTCACGGTGACAGTGCCCAGATGGTTTCAGGGCTGGGGACCCAGTGCTCAGGGACCCGCGAGCCGGCCGGCGCCCCATCACCATCCCAGCGAGGCCACTGCACAAGGGGCAGGTGCGGGTCACCTCGGGGAGACAGGACGCTCCCTGGGCGACGCCCCTTGGGCCAGCTACCCGGGATACCACGCGGCCCTGTCCCGGGACTGGTCCAGCGCCCCGCCCCAGACGCCCCGCCCCCAGGCTCCGCCCACTAGCCCCGAGGAAGGCGCTGGAACCCAATTGAGGAAAGCGCACAGCGCACGCGCGAGGGCGGGGCCTCCCCGCGTTGCCGAGGCTACAAGTGACGCGCTCCGCGGGGGCGACAAAAGTGCGCGTTTCCGGGACGGACTCCGGGCTGCCGGAATTGCGTGGCCGCCGGGGCCATGGCGGCGCTCGCCGTCGTCTCCCTGCTGCTCCAGGCGGCATCCTGGCCGCTTGTCACGGCCTCGGGCGAGTTCTGGCTCGGCCAGTCGGCAGCAGACATCCTGTCGGGGGTGGCGTCCCGCAGACGGTAAGTGCGCCCCTGTGTCTGCGCGCGACGGGCTGAGGTCGGAGCCAGCGGGTAGAGTCACTGGGGTCGCGGCCAGCCGGTAGAGTCGCTGGCGCTGCAGTCCCTGGCGGCGGTGGAGGGTGCGGATCTGGCCTTCGGGCCGCCTTCGCCGTCCGCTGTGGGCGGGGGTCGATCTGCTAACCCCCTTGGGCGGCTGCTAGGGGCCCTGGCCCGGACTGGACCTCGAGCCTGTGCCCGCGCGGGATGTGGGGATGGAGAGGCCGGGCCGATACCCAGGACAGCGATGACAGGGTTGGCACGGAGGGTCACAGGGGAGGCGAACTCGGTGGGGACGTTGGTGCCCATGTTCGGGACCCCTGGGTCCTCTGAACGGGACCGGCCATTCCAGGACGCCTCACCTATGACGCAGCGGCTAATTGTACGCAAGATAGGAGAACCCAGCTATTGCCAGACCCCAAAGGAATTTGCCAGAATTAATAACGTCATCAGTCATTTCACTAGTTATGTCTATTTTGAAACATACCTTTTGTTGACTTAAAAACCTCCTTAACATGTCATGCATTTATTATTTTGAAGCTACTTAAAGAGTATTTCTAGTTTTAACTCCTCTTGACACGGGACCTATCAGGAGATTTAACTCACATGAACCTCTGCCTTTTGGGGCCCTGGGTGACTGTTTACAGGGACTTTGAGGGCTGTAAGGACAGTGATTCTGAGACTCTGCTGGCATTGCACATTGTTAACTGGCCTTAGGATGTCTGCTCTTTGTTCTTGGGAGCTCTGCAAATAATTGCCACAAAGAAACAGTGGCAGCTGCCTCACTGTGGAAACCAGAAATCGTGGGAAGCAAGGCCCCAAGTGGCGAGGGAAGCCAGTGTCCTGAGCAGGGCCTGGCTCAGGAGCCTCACCTGCCCCTTTTAGGTACCTCCTGTACGACGTCAACCCCCCAGAAGGCTTCAACCTCCGCAGGGATGTCTATATCCGCGTGGCCTCCCTGCTGAAGACCCTGCTGAAGACTGAGGAGTGGGTGCTTGTTCTGCCTCCGTGGGGCCGCCTCTATCACTGGCAGAGTCCCGACATCCACCAGGTCCGCATCCCCTGGTCTGAGTTTTTCGATCTTCCAAGTCTCCACAGAAACATCCCTGTCGTCGAGTATGAGCAGTTCATTGCAGGTGAGGCCTCGAGTGCTAGCTGGAGGCGGCGGTATAGCCGAGACCAGACGGTCCTCCACCCTGTCCACACTGTCACCATCAGGCCTGCTGCAGTGCTGTTCTGGCCAGGGCCACTCCCCTCCCAGCCCACCAGCTCCTTCCCAGTGTCTCGAGGCAAACAGGGCCGAGGTGTTGGAAGCAGCCAGGTGCAGCCAGAGCTTGGTGTGGAAGCAGGGGCCTGGGGACCACCCAGCAGGACGTGCTCCCGGGCGGTGTGCCATGCTGGGGACAGCTTCTGAGAACCTCTTGTTTAACTTCATGCTGCTTCCTCTTTCCTGTTCCATTTTTCTGACAGGAATAGGGCTTTTCTTAGAACAAAAGCATTTAGAGCTCACTGGCTTTGGTTGCAGGAGGGAGGCCTGAAAGAGCAGGAGAGGAACTGGAGAGGCCCAGCTGGTGTGCAGCAGCGATGTGCACGGCTCGCCGTGTTCTCACCACAGGGCAGACTCTGCCCCTGCTGGGCCTGGGCTCTGGGGTTTCCCGTTCACGGTTCCGGCTGCCCCTCTCGTCCCCAGGATTGGTGACATCACCGGGACTGGTACTCCTGTGGCAGGCGGCTTCGCCACCATGGGTGGGAGCAGTAGGGAAGGGGACGGAACACGGGCCCTCTTGGAGGTCTTCTGGGTGGGTAGCAAGTGAGACGGTCATAGGGAGTGTGGGGCCCCTGGGTACTGGGCAAGCACGGCGGGGTGCAGCCCAGGAGCAGAGGGAGGGCGCTCAGCAGAGGAGGAGTGAGGTCGGGGCACTGGGTGCAGGAGGAGCGAAGGTTGCCAAGGGTGGGTCTGGGCAGAGACCAGGGCCCCCGTGATGGGGCCCCTGCTGGCCTCCAGGGCCCACGTGCCGATGGCATTGATGCCCCCATGCCTTCTTCTGGTCCTCCTCTTGGAGTGGGCAGCGCTGAAGAGGTCGTGAGAGCCTGTGTGGTGGCTCCTGGTGGTCACTGTTACACTGACATGGTCCTCTGCTCTTCCCAGAGTCTGGCGGGCCCTTCATCGACCAGGTGTACGTCCTGCAGGGCTACGCGGAAGGCTGGAAGGAGGGCACCTGGGAGGAGAAGGTGGACGCGCGGCCCTGCATTGACCCAGTGCTCTACTCCCAGGACAAGCACGAGTACTACAGGTAGCACTGCAGGCCCAGGCTCCCCAAACGCAGCTCACCTTGGCCCGTCCTGAGGCCCAGGCTGGTGGAGGCTACCTCGTCCTGCTGCAGATGAGGGGACACGGTGTTTTTCAAAGGACTCTGTGCAAGACACGCTCGCCCCCACCGCTCTATGTTGCAGTGCTGGGGATCGAACCCAGGGCCTTGTGCTTGCTGGGCAAATGCTCTGCCACTGAGCTCCAGCCCCGAGCCTTTTTGATCTTTTGAGACACGGTTTCACTAAGTCACTACGTTGCCCAGGCTGGGCTCCAACTTGGCGTCCTCCTGCCTCAGCCTCCCAAGTAGCTGGGATGACAGGAGTGCGCCACCACACCTGGCTTCACTGCCTTTGGAATGCGCTTCGCATGCAGCTGAGTGGTGGTCTTATCTCAGTGTCAGCGGCCATCTGAGGCTCTGGTCCCAGTTGACCTCCATGAGGAAAGACCGTGTCTCTCACCCTCCCTGGCGTGCGATGCTTCGGGCTGAGTTGAGCTGAGAGGGAGGCGCTTTTCTGCTGGCACTGAGCTCTGTCCTGCTCAGCTCCCGGCTGTCCCTTAGGGCCCCATCCAGCGTCACAGCTGTTTTCACGAGAGTGTCCCTGTCCGTGTGAGCTGCTCCTAGGGAGAGCAGTGGGTTTTACCCAGTGGGTCCTCCTGAGAGGGAGGGAGCCGACGGAGACCGGATTTCCTTTTCCAGGGGCTGGTTCTGGGGCTATGAAGAAACCCGGGCCTTGAATGTGTCTTGCCTCTCTGTCCAAGGCTCAGCATCTGTCGTGGCCCCTGTGCTGCTGAAGAACACGTCGGCCCGGTGAGTCCCCTGGGCCTTGTTCCTTCCCTGGCTGCAAAAGCCCCGGGAGCTAGAGGCAGCCGGAGCCGGAGCCGGAGCCGGAGCCCGAGCCCGGCCAGTGGCGTCAGGCCCAGCACTGTGTGCACAGGCACGGCGCTGCCCTCGTCAGGGACGGAGGGGGACACAGGCAGGGTCCACACCAGTCCCCCGCGAGTTCTCCTTGAGATGACTGGGGCTGTGGGGCTGGGCAGATGCAGACAGGAAGAGCAGCGGGGGCAGAGTGAGGAGGCGCCCAGCAGGGAGGAGGCCAAGAGCAGGACGTCACAGTCAGCGCTGGAGTGGTGTGCTCTGCTCTGTCCAAGCACCTGGGCAGCCTAGGACAGCCCCCACCCCACCCGCTCAGTTCCAGGGGTCAGAAGGGGCCCCAGCAGGGGAGGGCAGTCACTCGCACTCGCCACTGGGTGGCAGTGCAGCCCCACGGGAGCCAGGAGTCAGTGTGGCCTCTAGTCTGGGCGCGGTCTAAGGGCTGTGTTCCTGGAATCTGCTGCAGGCCCCAGGTGGCTGTGGGGAACCTGGGCTGTGGGGAAGCGCTCGCTGTCCCCTGTCATGCTCTGGAGTCCCCCACAGCAGGCCTTCCCACCGCCCAAGACTAGGTTCTCTCTTTTTTTTTCTGGAATGGGTGTTAAACCCAGGACCAGCTCTGGAGCTGTGGGACACACATGGTTGCTGCCCCATGTTTTCTGACTTGCGCTTCCAGGTGGGGACGGAGCTGAGCCTGGGTGGAACTAGCAGAAGAAGGTTGGGGGCAGCAGCTCTGCCAGGCAGCAGGGACAGGAGGCTGTGGGGCTCACTGTCAGCCCCATGAGCCCCAGGAAACCCCCTGTTGGGTAGATGGAAGACCCAGGGCCTGCAGCTCTCAGGACAGAACTGCGGAAAGACCAGCCACCTCAGGGAAAATGAAGGACTTCCAGCCACTGAAAGAAGAGCCAGCTTCCGAAGGAGCCAGCTTCCGGTCAGTAAGGGACTCTGTCCACAGTGTAGACAAAGCTCCTAAAGGTCAGAAGCAAAGGGCAGGCAGCCTGCAACAAAGTGAGTCAAAGGCAGGATGTGGCTCGGAGGAGAGCACCATCTGGCGGCAGGCGTGAAACATGCCTGGCCTCTACAGAGGCAGCGGCTGGCACTGTGCCGGGGCAGAGCAGACAGCACCGGTGTCATCCTCTTACGCATACCCTGTGTGTGCCCAGACATGGCCCAGGGCATGATGGAGCCCCAGACCAGACCCCCACTACCCTCAGCAGCAGTAAGGGGAGGATGACACATTCCAGAGCGAAATGTTACCAGCTGAGAAGACCAGCCAGTTGCCACTGTGGCTACAGAGCCAAGCAAAACAACACGGCTGCAGTTGGGTTTACATGTGCAGGGGAGGACGCTGTGCGCTAGGCCTTCAGACTGCTGCAGCTCACTGGTGCTGGCACACATCTGCCATCCGTTTCGGGTCACACGGTGCTGGAAGCAGAGGTGCCACGCCGGCCAGTCTGCCCTCGCATCCCACCGCCGTGTGTGCATGTCCCCCTTCCTTAAAGCCAAGCAGGTGCCACTTCCCTGTTCTCCACGTCTTGCTTGCCTTTCCCCACCTTGCCTTGTGTCTGGTCTCGGGGATGCAGCAGTTGTCACTGTCTTGTGGGGCTGGCTCTGCACCTGCTCGAGAACTGAGCCTCCCGAGTCAGTGCCTCTGGTGGCTCCGGTCTGGGCTGTCACTGGAGAGACTGTGTACAAAGGCCTTTGTGCCCTAGGGGCACAGGGACAGAGGGTCACACCCAGAAGCCCCACGGCCGGAAGGGCGCACGCCCTTCGAGGCCTGCAGAGCTGGTCTCCAGCACGCGCTGGCTCTGCGGATTGACCTGAGATGGGGCCCTTGAGTTGTAGCCTGTGCCCATCTGAGAACGTTCGAAAGCTCTTTGAAATGTTAATTCCATAAAGCACCAATTTAAAGTTTTACCAGTTTTTTCTCTGCACAAATATAACCTTTTTATATAGTTAAATATATCATCCTGTTTCTTAGAGGTTTCTGGGTCTTTTAATTCCACCTGCTCCTACCCAGTCTGCTTAGGTCCTTCCTGTTCTAACTCAGGGATGGCGAACCTTTTAGAGATGAGCGCCCAAACTGCAATCCCAAACCCACTTATGTATTGCCAGCACTGCAGTTAAACCTGCATACTGAGGTTTCGCTTTAGAAGAAACAACCTAAACACTTGGCTTGAGTGCTGATGACAGGACTCCGTGTGCCGGAGTTTCGCCGCCACTGTTCTTTGTGATTCCAGCGCTTGTTCTGGGCCCGGGGTTGCTAAACCTTACCTGGTGGTAAGTGCGAGGGCTGGACATGGCCACTGTGCTCAACGCAGGGGCCGTGCTGCTGTCCAGACAGCAGCCGGGCACTGGTGGCACCCAGGCCCTGCCTGGCCCTGCCTGGCCTGGGAGGTGCAGTGGCGAACTCACTGGAAGCAGGGTGCTGGTGTGAGCCTGAGACCTCTGCCCAGGAGAGAGGCTTTGTCCCTGTTCGGAGGTGGTTTCTGTCACAGTCGTAAGCACGAGCTTTTATGCCCTGTGGTTTGTGTCATGCTGTCCCTTACTATTAACGTAAGCGGTGGATTTTCTAATGTCGAACTGTCTCTGCATTCCTGGGAGAACTCCCTTGTCGTGGGTGTTCTCTTCATGTTTGCTATTTTGATTCATCTGTTTCCCTTTTCTTTCTGTCCTTCCACTGCCTCTCAGTATCCCGTTTGCCCTGGCAGACCCGGTGCAGTCCCTTGCAGACTGTTTTCAGGTTTGCTTGGCCCCAGGCTCTCCTTGCAGGGCCCCCAGAAGGGGCAGGTCGAATCACGTTCAGCTGTGACAGTCCTTAACTCTCCTAGGTCGGTGATGTTGGACAGAGCTGAAAACCTGCTTCACGACCACTATGGCGGAAAAGAATACTGGGATGTGAGTGTTCCCTCAGGGCTGCCCTTCCCACTTGTTTATGCTGTGTGGATGTGTGCAGTTTCTGGAAGTGTGAAATAGCAGCTCTTCGCTGGGCACCAAGCTGCATCTCCCCTACCCCGGGAGCAGAGGTTCTGTGGGGTGGCTGTGCGGCAGGGTGAGGACCCCGCCATGGGCTCAGGGTCTCAAGGACACAGTGGCATTGCCTGCTGGGTGGTGCCAGACCCGGAGCTGTCCCTCCCCTCCTCGTCCTCTTGGGTCTGTCAGCGGAGAGCCTAGAGCTTGTGGGTTACCCTTCTTTAGTTGGGCAAGGTGGGGATGGTGCGTAAGCCCTTACCCCTGGGGTCGATTCTCCTGGGGGGCGGGGGCTGGGTGACAGCTGAGGACACCACGGTCGCCCTGGGTGGCTCATCTGGCCAGAGCAGCCTCTGAGGACCTTTTGGCCTTGGCTGTAGCTGACAAAGCAGGTGTGTGGCTTGGAAAAGAGATGCAGTTGTTTAGCTTGACGCTGGGAGCCAGGCGGGCCTGAGGTGGAGGGCGGCATGCAGGCTGCCAAGGGCCTGCTGTCCAGGAGCCCTGCAAGTGACCTGGGGAGGGGCGGCCCCACTGGGAGGAGCCTTGCTTGGAGCCTCTCCTGGTGCCAGGCAGCAGTGCTGCTCAGAGGCCAAGGGTGGTGTCCAGCCTGGGACTACACAGGCAGCAAGAGACCAAGAGCCTGGCCCAGGGGGCTGAGCAGCCTTGTCCTCAGCACCCAGCTCCTGTGCAGATGGCCCAGGTGGTGCCAGGTGAGGTGGTGCCCGTGCCTGTTTGCAAGGTCATGCGGTGCTCACCTGGGTCCTCTGCAGACCCGGCGGAGTATGGTGTTTGCCAAGCATCTGCGGGTGGCAGGAGATGAGTTCCGGAGCAAGTTCCTCAACTCCAGTGATGCCACGGACGGTGTTCCCACCGAGGAGGACTGGACCAAGCTGCAGGTAGCGTGTTCCCTCTGCATGCCCAAAGCTCACCGTGCTCTGAGCACTCAGTGCAGGTCTGGCGCCTCATCCGTCACCTCTTGCTGGGTCCCAGTCGACGCCTCCACCAGGGGCTGGGCACACCTGTCCTCCAAGCCTCCTGGGGCCAGTGCGGAACGCGCCTCACACAGCACTCACGAGTAAGAGAGGGTGTGGCTGCAGCCCCACCTGCAGCTTCCGGGCATTCAGGGAGAGATCCTGAAAACATAGAGCCCATGTCCAGGTTGCGGTTGTAGTTGCCCTGGGTTCCTGGTGACAGCTGGGGCCAGAAGGGCTGTGGGGAGCAGCAGCAGCACGGTTGGCTCTAGCAACAGCCTTTTAAATTTTTCATGAGTGGTTCTTAATATTTACTGAAAGTCTGAGCTTTCCCATGGTGGAGTTTCATGCTGATACTGTTGTCAGTTCTGGCGCCTTTTGCTAGTGTTTTATAGCAGACCCTGTGTTCTTCCCAGATGTCTGGGTGGTTTCCAGAGGGCACTGCTGGAGTCATCCTAGTCCTGTGCTTGGCTGGTCCGTACTGGAAAGCAGGCCCTAGCTCGGAGGCTTTTCCCGCAGAGCGCCACTCAGTTTTACTTCTCTCAGACGAAAGGGTGTGATGATTACCCACTTCTCTTCAGAAGCATCCTGACCCCGATTCTGGAGGGGATGCCATGGGGCCCTCGTGCACTCCCCATCCTGAGATACCGGGCGCAGGAGTACTCGGCTTTGTCCTCTGCTAGGCCAAGCTGGGCTCCTCCCTCGGAGGCCCATACCTTGCCGTCCACCTGCGGAGGAAGGACTTCATCTGGGGCCACAGGGAGGACGTGCCCAGCCTGGAGGGTGCCGCCAGGAAGATCCGCAGCCTCATGATGGTGCACCAGCTGCCCAGGGTGTTCGTGGCCACAGATGCCATCAGGAAGGGTAGGGGCTCTCAACAGTGACTGTTTCCTCCCTCTGGCCCCTGGTTAAGCATGGGCAGACCTGCACGCATCTGAGCCAGGCTCTGTCCTCACCACTGAGCCCGCTGATGAAGTTACACGCAGCAGACCCTGCCCAGGCATGTGTCTGTCCACACCCAGGACCCTGCATCAGTGCTTCTCCTCTGCCTTGTAGAACAGGAAGAGCTGAAGAGGCTGCTGCCTGAGATGGTGAGGTTTGAGCCCACCTGGGAGGAGCTGGAGCTGTACAAGGATGGGGGTGTCGCCATCATCGACCAGTGGATCTGCACGCATGCCAGGTGCCTGTGCCGCCCCCCTCCGCCCTCCCCTCCCCTCCCCTCTCCTGTGGCTTGGGGGCCATTTTCACAGGGTTCTCGTGATCGGCATGGACCTCACCTCCATGCACACTTGGCTAGTTTCCTCATCGGTTGTGGGCCTCACCGCCTCTCCTGCCCTGACAGCCGCCAGTCCCTGGTGTGGCTGACACCTGGGAGTATGGGGGCCCGCGCTGGGCTCTCAGGCTCTCGGAGGGATGCCTGGCCTCAGTGGCCATTCATAGGAGACCAGGGCTGGGACTGGCTCAGCAGGTGCAGTCAGGGGGAAACTCAAAGGGAGAGCATGGTCACCACTAGGTGTGGGCACAGGGCGTGCACAGGCTGGTCTTCGGGTCACGGCCTGAGGTGGGCCGCTGGCTCTGCCACTTCTGGGCAGAGGCTGCTGGTGCTATCCCCAGCAGCAGGGCCCCTTTGCCTGCCAGGCAGGCGCAAGGTAGGTACTTTCTTCTCGGGGCCTGCCCTGTGTGGTGCACAATGGCTGGCAGCGTCCAGTGGCCTGAATGCTGCTCTGGGGAACTGGAGCTCGCACTTCCCCTCCTGCCTTGGGCTCTTCAGGAAGCTCCATGGCATCTGTGTGAGCTGTCACCCAGTGTGAGGCACCCGCAGCTCCAGGCCCACCCCGTGGTCACACCCACTACTGAGCATGTAGCTGTGCTGCAGAAACATCTCGGGCTGATTGGTCACCGGTGCCATAGAGCCGGGACCAGTGCACTCCAGGTCAGAGCGGCTCAGCCACTCCACCACCCTGTGGCTAGAGGACCTGCAGCAGGGCTCCCCACTGGCCCAGGGCACATGTGTGTCCATCTGCAGCTGGCCTGCGGTGGCAGAGGGGACAGGACTGAGGTGCTGGCAGAGCCACCAGGGCACAGGGATCTAGGGTCCCTACCCACCTTCTGTGATGCTCCAGCAACTCCTGGTCCTGTGTGACTCTAGGAACTGTTCATGTTGCTCTGCAGGCTTTTCATCGGCACATCAGTCTCCACGTTTTCTTTTCGGATTCATGAGGAAAGAGAAATCCTGGGGTTTGATCCCAAGACGACGTACAACCGGTTTTGTGGAGACGAGGAGAAAGCGTGTGAGCAGCCCACCCACTGGAAGATCGTATACTGAGGGTGCCGTGTCCATCACTGCTGAGAGCCCAGGACCAGAGGAGGCCCCACCCCTGGGCACAACAGAACTAGGTGGTGCCCTGGCCCGGTGTGTCCTTTAGTGAGGTCACATTTTACCTGTGTGCGGATCACGAAATGCAGGAGCCTCTCAGCCCACTGTTGAGTGGGGTGGGACGCGTGTGAGTGGCCACCCTCTCAGGTGGCTGCAGAGTTGAGGGTGTGCTGAGGGGTGTGTGCAGCTCTACTGTCTCCTGGGGTGGCCAGGGAAGCATGAGACCTGCCCACCCTGCAGTCGTCAGGCACCAGGGAGAGGATCGCATAGGCCTGGTACACCCTCCTCTGTCCACTCGGGAAACATGGTGTGGGGAGCTCCCCTGGGGCACAGTGGGCTTCCAGGCCCGGCGCTAACTGCCAGGAGGTGAGAAGTGACAGCCGCGGCGAGATAAGCTGCTTCATCGTAGCTGTGTCCCATCTCACAGGATTCCTTTTCCCGTGCTCACACTGCCACCACCAGGACACTTTCAGGCCCCTGCCCCTGCAGGACTTCATTGTGGTGTCGGACACCACACAGCCACTTCCCTGGTCCACTGGTGACATGGTCGCACCTTCGCTTTCTCTTGTACAGAGCTGGTGAACCCTTGTGTCCCCTCCCCAGACACTGGCATGGCCTCCAAGTGGTGTCATCGGGCCGCCAGGTGGAGTGATCACATATTTATTCTTTCCCATTTGTATATTCAAAAATTAATAAAAAATTTTCTAGAGAGCTGTAATCCTAGGAATGGTGCCTTTCTCTCACCTGGGAATTTTGTAGGCTGGGAGCTTATGTAGGCATCTGGGGCTATATTGTGTCCCTCCTGGTAAGAAGAGGAAACTGCTCTGTGGCACTTGGTGTGCAGCATGGTGTCCTTGCCACACAGCACGATGGGTCACTTCAGGATGCCTGGAAGATCACAGCCAGACTGGCAGGTCAGGGCTGACTCTGGCCTGTGGACAGTGCAGGCCTAGGTCCCTATTGGGACACCATGTGACTCAGACCTGCTCCTAGGGGACAACAGGCCTTTGTCACCATGCACGGCACACAGCGCTCTGTTCATTGCTGGGAGGGCTGTTCAGGGGCAAGAACCCCACAAATGTAGGAAATCAAAAATGCAGCATAGCCCACACGGGTAGTGTCCCCGGGAAGGACACAGGAACATGGTGCTAGGTGGTGGCAAAGGTGCCAGGGAACCAGGGTAAGGTCTGCAGGGGGCCAGGGAGGGGGAGGCAGCAGCCAGGGTCACCATGGTCTGGGGGGCCATGTGGCTGCAGTCCACAGTTCTGTGGCCCGAAGGACACAGGTCAGACAACAGTGCCAGGAACTTCAGCCGCATTCACCCAAGTTTATCAGAGAACAGACGACCATGCCTGAGGCGAGGCAGAGCTCCAAGTGAGGCACAGGGACCCCTGTTAGGGACTGGGTGTCCCCGGGGATGGCTGGTAACAGGACCCGAGTCCTGGTGTCTAGATGGCATATCGTGCTGGCACCAGTGCCCACTGCACCCAGCTTAGGGTCAGTGTTGTCGGGATGAAGCCCATAGGCCCACAAAGGTAGGCCGGGGGCCCAGGCAGGCCTCTGGTCACAGTGAGCCTCTTGGTGGCAGGGGGCAGGTGCCACAGAGCAGTCCAATTCTGGAGGTTGGGACCTCAACACAGGACCCAGGGATGCCCCTCTTGGACCCCAAGTAGCCTCTGGCCTTGCTCCATGGAGAGATCCATTTCCTGCTCCTCGCACTGAGGGCAGCCCAGCCCAGGGTGCCAGAGCCTGAGGTGGTACCCTCCAGCCACTCATGCAGAGCAGGTGACAGGACACGGCACGAGGGTGCATGAGAGGACACAGCCATCCTCACCCTCTGGCCTCGGCAGGGTCCACGGGGAAGGCCACCCAGTAACCAGCTTCACAGAGAGGCGGGGCCAGGCACCGTCTGCTGCAGGCTCCAGGCCATTACTACTGCCACATGGGCTAAGGGGCGCTGGAGGTGGGGGGATCCCACCCTTGTTTCTAGCAGAGATCTTTTCAAGACAGACCCAGCCGGGACAGGGGACCCAGCCTTGGGGGCCTGAGGGCACCACAGACCCATCGACATCCCCTCCTGCCCAGAATGAGCAGCCCACCCACCTGGGCACAGACACAGGGGACACGAGCCTCAGCCCGAAGCAAAGGGACAAAATAACTCAATTTCTAACCACAAGTCACGCATGCATGCACACACAAATGCACACTGTTCCAAAGCAGCCAGCTCCAGGTGCGGCAGAAGCAAACACAATCCCTGGAGGGGTCCGCCCGCAGGTGCCTTAGAGGATGCCACTGTAGAAAGCTGGTCCCACTTCAAGGCGCCCACAACACAGGGAAGCCAGGCACCGTGTGTAAGGTCAGCAAGAAGAACATCCACAGCCCTGCTGTGGGCCGCCCCCAACATAGAACCTGTGGTCATGTGATCCATGCATTTACAGATACAATGAAGAGTCCTGGAAAGTGACAAAGGGACAAGATGCCATCAGAAGCAACATGCAAGGTGTGATAATGCACAGGCAGGATCAGTTTCTCAGGAGGCTGAGGCAGGGGGATTGCAGTTTGATGGCGGCCCAGGCATCTTGGCAAGATCCTGTCTCAAAATTAAAATGGGCAGGGGATGTAGCTCAGTGGTGCATCCTAGTATATGTGAGGCCCCGGTTTTAAGTACCCCCACAAAAAAACCCCCAACATCTAGAAATGAAAACAGCAAGTGAATCACAATAGCTCAGCAGCAAATGCAAATCTGAGAAATAACCGGTGTTGGAGTGACTGGTCCGACCACCACCCAGAGGACACAGCACGGAAAGCCAGAGGCGAGTAGAGGACAGGAGACCACGCAGGCTGTGCTCATCTGCTGACCTTCCCAAGAGGACAGGATGCAGGAGTCACACTGGAGACGCCCAGGAGGCTGTTCTGGATGAGACTCCACGTTTGGAAGGATGACGAATGGCAGCCGGTGACACCACCCAAGGGTGCCCGTGAGACTGTATCAGGCTGACCTGGGCCGAGAGAGAAGCCTGGGCACCCAAAGAGAGCAGGACTGGTGTTGGCTCCTCCAAACCCAGGCCGCCGGGAGGCACATGCAGCACCCAAGAAGGGCGCTGTCCGCCTCGCTGTGTGTCACCAGCAAAACTGTCCTTCAAGGACAAAAACAAAACGTAAGTCCCATCGAGACAGGGATGGCAGGCGGCCTCACCAGAGGCCCAGTGGAAAGGCGCCCAGCCAACAGGAGGGGTCCACGGTGCCAGCACAGCAGGGGCATCGCGGTGTTCTCCGCTCCACTTCGCCCCCATCTGTCTCTCTGGCAGGATCTGTGACAGACGGCAACAGGGTGGGGGCTCAGCTGATAAACGTCTGTTGGCCTCACAGTCTTGATTCCTTTTGAACTGCCTTGAACACAACCCTCTCAAAAACAGTGCTTCCAAAAAAATTAGTGTGGACACACGAAGGTGACACACGAGTGTTGACACTAAGCTGTGAAGATAGGCCTGTGCCGTCAACTGTTTATGTCACTGTTTGAATTACACCATTAAGTTGCCTAAGCTCCTTAATGAAAGACTGGACTTTATCCTGAGAAAGTTTGCCTTTCCTGGTTAGGCAGAATTTTGAAATGATTGTGAAAAAAGAGAAAAGTAATGCAAAGCTAGTTGCCTTTTTTCTCTCCTGGCCTTTTTTCTTTTCTGCCCTGACCCTGGGGATTTAACTTAAGAAAAAGAATGCCAGGCATGGTGGCACACACCTGTCGTCCCAGCACTTTGGGAGGCTGAGGTAGGAATTCAAGTCCTGCCTGAGCAACTTAGTGAGACATTGTCTCTAAATAAAAAATAAAAAGAGGGATAGAGATATAGCTTATTGTGAAAGCTTTGGGTTCAATCTAGCAGTAGAAAAACCAAACCAAAGCAAACAAACAGAAAAAAAGAAAAACAAACCTCACCTGAAATGGAACCTCCATGAAGATACTGCAATAAAATCTGACTTGCACAAGCGCAAGGACCCGAGTTTGATCCCTGGTACCAAAAAAAACACAAACCCCCCAAAATCCCCCAAAATCTGACTGTGCAATAATGGAGGGATATTTTAGTAAGTTAGGGTACTTACCTTAAGTAGATAAGCTGGCACATTAAAAATATAATTATGAAGCCATAAAACAGTCACTTCCTATTTTTAAAACTGCTATAAAGTACCTACCAGTCTCACACACACACACACCCCCAGACCCGGCAGAGCAAGGCCCACTACTTGTAAGCAACTATTTGGCTCAGACTTGGTTCCAAAGTGAGCGAAGGGAGCTATTTCTCAGGGTACAGGCACAGAAAGACCTGACCCCAGATAGCCTTGAGAGGCTCTCAGGAATGAGCAGGACTGAAGAACAACAGCAATCGCCGGAGCCAGAGCCAGAGGAGGATTAGAAGCCAGGGATGCGACAGCTACAGGGGACGGGCGACTTCCTGGTCCCTGCCCCCACACTCCGTCACAGCCAACCAGGGCTCCAGCCCTGTTCATCAGACCCCACCCTGGCCCAGCGGGGAGCAGAGGGAGTGACCTCCCATCTCCATGCCAGCCACAATACACAGCTCGTTCCTTCTACAAAGCTGGGGCCACAGCATTAGCTCCGATGGGTGTCAGGTCACCAGCCCACGCTTGGTGTCATTAGGACGCATGGCTTGAGGCACAGTAAAAAAGAAAATGGCACAATGGCACATGCAGCGCCTCATGACTAAGACTCGTGTAACCTAAGACGTGTGCAGACTCGGCAGCATTTTCTCTGCAGGGCTGCGGCCCATCCCGCCCTAGGCCAGTTTTTCACAGCCCTGGTTTCCTGTGAAAGAGACTTGGTGCTTTCCGATGGACACACTGTCCCTGCCATCTGTCACAACAGACGCATGGATCTGTCGCTGTTATGACCACCAAACCCCTGGACAGTACATGCAGTCAAGACCTGACCCCACAGGAACCACAGGCCCATCCTCGGCTGGGTGTGCACAGGGCCTCTCTCTGCTCCAGCTCCCAGGCCACCCCTCCCAAGCAGAGCAGCCAAAGACTCAGGGCAGAGGTGGCCACGCTGCCTTGGAGATGAGGAAGAGGGGTGGCTGTGGCAGAGGGAAGTGAGCTGGGCCATGACCGCCACCTGTCCACCCCATTACCCTTGAATTAACACAACTGTCCCGGCTGCACATCCAGGCTTCTTCAGAACGGACTTCTGCTCCTCACGGATCCCCGGTGTTAGCTCACAGGGCGTCCACACCATGTGTGCAGTTCCCTGGCTTTGCCGTCCACCACCAGCTCATGCTGTGCCTGTTGGTTTTCCTTCATCTGACTGGCTGGTTGTCCCCAAATCCCTGCTGGCAGGGTGTCAGCATGCAGGTCAGTGGGCCACGAGTGGTCCAGGTCTAAGGCAGTGCCACGTCTGCCCCCACCCCTCATAGCCATGCCAGGATGGGACAAGCCTGGTGACGCGGGAGGGCATAACCTGCCTCCGTGCTGGGCTTCCAGGTGTCAACAGCAAGGCAAATACAACATGCGGAAAACAGAATCCTTGCCCACCACACAGGGGTCAACGTGTCCCTCAAAATCAGTGTTGGCATCACAATGGAGGGGATGTGGCAGGACTTGGCCGGACTCCCAAGACCCCATGGGCAGGAAGGGGGACTCAGCCAGGAGCCTGCACCTCACCTCAGAGCCTCGTGTGGAGGCTGGGGCTGTCCTGGAAGGACCAGG